GCCGGGACCACAGCGGCTTCCAAGGCCCATCCTGCCCACAGTGGGTCCTCTCCGCTGCTGTAAGCACGAAGCACAGCTCAGGATGTCCTTGCAGGAGCAGTGGGAAGACACAAGAAGATAGTGAGCAGGCCCAGGAAAGCCCTTCCAAAGGCCTGGAGAGCAGGAAGAGCAAAGCTCCTGCGCTGCAAAGCACATCCCAACATCCTTCGGACTCCTCCAACCCACCCAAAGGGTGGGAGCCTTCCTCCATCACCACTTTGGGGTTGGGGGGCTCGGAGGCAGCAACTTCTGATGTTCCACCACCAAAGCCCCCGCAGGAGAGACCTTCAGGTGCCCAGTGCCACTGGATGTGTCACTGCCAGGAGGCTGAGCTGCACGGGAGGGCTCAGCAAGGCCAGGAGGTGGCCGGTGAAGCACCGGGGATGCTCTCAGCCCCGTCTTTGGGAGTTGCATCACTGCAAGGATGAGGAAACTGCCGCTGCAGATTAAGGGTTCCAAGGAGACATCAAGGTTAGGAGATGGGATATTCCAGCTGAGCTCATCCAAGTGCCTTCCAAGATCAGTGGGGAGCAGGTGAGGCACCCACCTCAGATACGCAAGAGCAGGTGAATTGTCCATCTAACTATGAAGGTCCAACTGCATAACAAACGCGTGAGTGGACAACAGGAACTAATTACAGGCAATTAGGAGAGGCGAAGGACGCACTTGGAGCTCTGCTGCCCATCTGATGCTGGAGGAGAAGGGCCTCCCCTCACACAAACAAGGCAATTACAAAGGCTGGGAGAGGGCAGGATGTTGAAAGCCGGCTCGGATACACCCCTGGATGCAAGGCCTTTAGGGCTGAGTGATCCCACGGCGTGATAAGGGCAGTTACCCCTCTGAGAGCATCTCCCGGTGGTCCAGGAGGGAAGCAGCACACCTCCGGGAGGGGAAAAGGGCCCTGAAGCACCCACATGGAGAGGAGACGAGCTCAAAGCACAAGGCAGAGCCACGGTGGGGATGCTGCTGCCGTGGCAGCGCGCTGCAACACGCAGGGCCGCATCCAGGAGGGACCCGGATGCACATCCCAGTGGAACCAGTCCCCGGCAGGAATGTGCAACCCCAGCACGTTGCACAACACCGCCGGTAATCCCGGGTGCCACCGTGCCGCTGAGGGGCACCCCAAGACATCACCGCTGCGGAGGGCACCTGAAGCCACCCCTGACTCCACGTGTGGGGCAAAGCTCGGTGATCCCCGGGGTCCCCCCCTTGCATCGGCCAATGGGGCCTTGGTTGAATGCTCCAGGGATGGGAACACGGTCCCTATATCCAGAGAGCTCTGTGGCGAGGCAGCACCTATGGGTGCCCCACGGCAGCCCTGAAGCACAGCAAGGGGGACGCAGGACCCCAGGGAGGATGCCCACAGAGCCCCACACACACGCGAGACCCAGAGGAAGGGCTATGAACGGTCCCAAAGGTGCGCCCAGCACCCGGCTCCCCCCTTCCCCTCACCTTGCCCACGTCCAGGGCCGTGGCCTCCAGGATCTCCTGCTTCTTGTCCTCCAGGAAGCGGCCCAGGGCCTCCAGCTGCGCCACCCGGTACTCCATGGGCCGCGTCTTCCCCGAGAGCCAGGCTGCCCGCAGCAGGGCCACCAGCCCCGCATAGGGGTTCCCGCTGCACGCACGGGGCTGTCAGAGGGACCCCGAGCCCATCGCAGCCCCATGTGTCGTCCCCCCACAGCGCCCCAAACGGGAGCCCCACAGACCCCAGGGATGGGGCAGGGAGTCCCTCCTGTGCCCCCTCCATGGCATTGATCCCAGCGTTCCCTTCTCTCATCCCTTGGTCCATGGACCCCAAACCTGTCCCCCAGCACCCTTCATCAGCACCCAGCTCCTCATCACCCCAACCCAGCACCAAACAGCACCCCGGGGTGAGGGCAGAGCACCCAGACCCCTCCCACTCCCATTCATCCCAGCCTCACGCTCTCCCATCACCATCCATGCTCCCCTTCCCATCACCACCCTCATCCTCCTCAGGAGCGTTCCCAGCCCCGGGAGCTGCTGGGATGCGGCAGCCCCTGGACCCCAAAACCTGTCCCCCCTTCATTAGCACCATGGGGACCCCATCACCCTGTGTCTCCCTTCTCCCCCCCCCCAGCCCCTCGCTCTCACCATCCAGCAGTGCACATCACGGGCCCCTTCCCCACGCTCCCGCTGCTGCTCCCACCGCCTCCACAGCAGCCGGCGGCATTCCCGGGATCGCTGGCCACAGGGATGCACTTCCCTGGCTGCTGCCCGGGGAGCTCAAGGGCTTGCTGCATGCCAAGGCCTCGGAAGGAGCTGCTGGGATGGAAGTGCCGGAATGCCGGAGCTGGAAGTGCCGGATCCCAGCAGGAGTCACCCGTGTCCCAGGGCTGCCTGTGGCACCTCTGGAGGGTGAAGCTGTGCTGCTTGGGGCTGTCCCGGCCTGACTCATCCCGGCGGGACATGCCTGGCATTCCCGGGATCGCCACCACCACCTGCTGCTGCTGTGGGGTCACCCCATGGGGACCTCAAGGACCCACACGGAGCCCCCTCAAGGATCTCAGTGGGGGCCAGCACTGGGACTTCCACAGCCCGCTTGGGTCCGCCAGCGCGCCAGGAGCTGTGGGGCAGAGCTGCAGCCCCATAGCTGCCCCTCTCCGTGCCCCAATGAACCCACCTTCCCTCAAGGGAACCCACCCAGAGGGGTGCCCCACAGCCGCCGTGGGACCCCAAAGGGCTCACCTGTGGGGCTGAACGGTGGCCAGAGGAGCTGGAGGTGCTGCTGATGCTCAGGGGGATGCCCCTAAATGCTGTGGGGCTGGTGGCCAGGCCCCATGGCCAGCGATGGGCAGGGCTGGGCCCCGCCTCCGTGGGGCCGGCAATGGGGCCAAGGCCTGGGCTGGGACCTCCCCTCCATGGACAGTGGTCCTGGGGGTTCTCCTGTGGGCCCCAGCACCACCATGAACCACGGGGAACCCATAAGCACCCATGGAGCTGGTATCCAGGGCCACCCTGACCAAAGGGCACCCCATAGGCACCCCCCAGGTGCCCTGCCCCACATCCCCAGCACCATGGGGCTCACCCACAGCACCCCCATGGCAGCACCCAAAGAGGGTGACGCAGCTGTCCCCAAGCAGCCGCTGTCCCCATGGAGGATGCCTCACGTCACCGGAGACCTAAAGGGACAGCAGGGATCAGAGACTGGAATGGGATCATGGGGGGAGCCCCATTATACTACACCCCCCCCCCCAGCACCCTGACCCCTGCACAGCACCCACTGAACTCCCAGCACCCTGACACCTGCACAGCACCCACTGAACTCCCAGCACCCTGACCCCCCTGCACTTCACCCACTGACCCCCCCCCAGCACCCTGACCCCTGCACAGCACCCACTGAACCCCCCCCCAAGCACCCTGACCCCTGCACAGCAGCCAGTGACCCCCAGGCACTCTGACCCCTGCACAGCACCCATTGAACCCCCCCCAGCACCCTGACCCCTGCACAGCACCTATTGACTCCCCCCAGCACCCTGACCCCTGCACAGCACCTATTGACTCCCCCCAGCACCCTGACCCCTGCACAGCACCCACTGAACCCCCCCAGCACCCTGACCCCTGCACAGCACCTATTGACTCCCCCCAGCACCCTGACCCCTGCACAGCACCTATTGACTCCCCCCAGCACCCTGACCCCTGCACAGCACCCACTGAACTCCCAGCACCCTGACCCCTGCACAGCACCCATTGAACCCCCCCCAGCACCCTGACCCCTGCACAGCACCCACTGAACCCCCCCCAGCACTGGTGGCTCCTTCTCCTCACCCCAGGCATCCCCCAGTACCGGCCGGGCCGGATCCTGCTCCGGTCCCGTGACCATGCCAGGACGTCACCTTCGGGCCCTCCCTGCCCCCGGGCACCCCCGCCTGGCCACGCACCCATGGGTGCTCCCAGCACCGGGATCGGGTGCCGCAGGGACCCGCACGTGTCCGGTCACCCCCAAACCGGCCCCGCACCCACAAACGGCCCAGGGTTGGGAAGGGGAAGCGAGAGCAGAGGGACCTGGTAGCACCCAGCACCCAGGGCTGGAGCACCCACACCGGGGCCTGGTGCGAGGGCTGCTGGGATGGGGATGGGGTCAGGGTGCTGGGGGGGTTCAAGGGTTCAATGGGTGCTGTGCAGGGGTCAGGGTGCTGGGGGGTTTAATGGGTGCTGTGCAGGGGTCAGGGTGCTGGGGGGGTTCAATGGGTGCTGTGCAGGGGTCAGGGTGCTGGGGGGGTTCAATGGGTGCTGTGCAGGGGTCAGGGTGCTGGGGGGGTTCAATGGGTGCTGTGCAGGGGTCAGGGTGCTGGGGGGTTCAATGGGTGCTGTGCAGGGGTCAGGGTGCTGGGGGGGTTCAATGGGTGCTGTGCAGGGGTCAGGGTGCTGGGGGGTTTCAAGGGTTCAATGGGTGCTGGGGGGGTTCAATGGGTGCTGTGCAGGGGTCAGGGTGCTGGGGGGGTTCAATGGGTGCTGTGCAGGGGTCAGGGTGCTGGGGGTGCAGGATCGGCCCCTTTAAGCGTCCCCGTCCCCGTCCCGCCCCATCCGAAAGAGGAAGCGGCGCCCGCCCCGCCCCGGGCTCCGGTAGGGGAGCGGATACCGGGGGTGCTGGGAGTGTTGGGTGCGGGGCTGGGGGTGCTGGGTGCGGGGCTGGGGGTGCTGGATGCTGAGGTGAAGGGTTGGGGGGGCAAGACACGGGTGCAGGGTCTGGGGGGGGGGGCAAAGTGCATGGGTGCAGGTCTGTGGGTGCTGGGCTCAGGTCTGTGGGTGCAAAGCACATGGGTGCAAGGGATGAGGGTGCTGGATCTGGGGGTGCTGGGCACAACGGTGCAGAGGTGCAAGGGTTGGGGGTGCTGGGCACAGGGTCCACAGGTGCAGGGGTGCAAAGTGCATGGGTGCAGGTCTGGGGGCGCTGGGTGCAGCGTCCATGGGTGCAAAGCGCATGGGTGCAGCGCTTGGGGGTTGCCAACAGCACCCCAACCCCTTCCCCGCCCCATGCAGCCCCCCCCCGGAGGCAGGATGCAGAAGGATTCCAGCGTGTACCAGGATGCAGCCACGGCAGTGGCGGGTGACAGGCTGGGTGCTGAGGGGACAGAGACACAGGTGAGGTCCCTATGGGTGCCCCCCATAGGGTCCCAGTGGTGCTCCCCCCCCACGCCGGGGGCTGACAGCCACTGTCCCCCCCACCCCAACAGCTGGATGACTTTGTGGGTGCTCACCCCGACTACAACGAGGAGGAGGAGGAGCACAAGTTCTTCCGCCGCAAGCGCCTGGGGGTCATCAAGAACGTGTTGGCCGCCAGCCTGGCCGGGACCCTCACCTATGGGGTGTACCTGGGTATGGTCCTGCTGCTCCTCAGGGGCCCCCAGTGTGGTTTGGGGGGGGGGGGGTGTGACCGGCTCTGGACCCCCCCCCTTCCTCAGGCCTGCTGCAGATGCAGCTGATCCTGCACTACGACGAGACGTACCGGGAGGTGAAGTACAGCAACATCCAACTGGAGGACATCGACCGCAAGGTGTTGATGGGCATCAACGTCACCCCCATCGCGGCGCTGCTCTATACCCCCGTCCTCATCAGGTACAGCACTCTCCATGCTGCCCAACAGCCTTCCCAACGGGAATCCGTGCTTCCCTCTCCAATCCCTGGCAGGTTCTTTGGCATCAAGTGGGCCATGTTCCTCGCCGTGGGTATCTACGCCTTCTTCGTCTCCAGCAACTACTGGGAGCGCTACTACACGTTGGTGCCTTCCGCCGTGGCCATCGGGGTGGCCATCGTGCCCCTCTGGGCTTCCCTGGGCAACTACATCACCAGGTAGGCCAGGGGTGGGGTGGGTGTGAGGTCCTGGGTGACACCCAACTGACCCACGGTGCCATGCAGGATGGCCCAGAAGTACCACGAGCACGTCAACTACAAGGAGGAGCAGCGGGCACCACGAGGGGCCAGTGATGCCTACATCATCGTCTTCCAGACCATCTTCTATGCCTTCTTCCACGTGAGTGCTGGCCCAGGGAATGGGATGGGGTGGGCAACGTGGTGCTGAGCACCTCCTGCTCTCCGTGCTGCAGTTGAGCTTCGTCTGCGCCCAGATGCCCATGCTCTTCTTCCTCAACGACTACCTCTACCAGCTCAACCACACGCTCTTCGGGGTCAAGCACTGCGGTGAGGACGGGGTGGTGCGGTGGGGTGGCAGGGGGACCTCCGGGTGGGCAGGAACCACGGTGTGTGCCCCCCCAACAGGGACCCTGAGCCACGGCACCCTGCCCGGCTTCAACACCACGGTGCTACAGAGCCTGCCCCGCAGCGTCAACCTCATCGTGGTGGACAGCGTGCTGATGGCGGCTGCCTTCCTCGCCATGCTGGTGGTGAGTGAGCTGGGCACAGGGCTCCAGCAGGGCCAACATCATCCCTATGGAATCATGGAATCAACCGGGTTGGAAAAGCTTTAAGATCATCCAGCGCAACCATTGCCCAGCACTGCCAAGGCTCACGTCCCCAAGAGCCACATCCACACATCCTCTAAGCACTCCCAGGGCCGGTGCCTGCAGCCCTGCCCTGGGCAGCCTGTTCCAATGCCTGAGCACCCTCTGGGGCAGGAATTGTTCCTCAGCTCCATCTAAACCTGCCCTGGGGCAGCTTGAGGCCGTTTCCTCTTGTCCCATCCCTTGTTCCTTGGGAGCAGAGCCCAGCCCCTCCTGGCTCCATCCTCCTCTCAGGCACTTGGAGGCAGCCATCAGGTCCCCCCTGAGCCTTCTCTTCTCCACACTGAACCCCCCCAGGTCCCTCAGCCCTTCCCCATCACACTTGGGCTCCAGGCCCTGCTCCAGCTCCGTTCCCTTCTCTGGCCCCGCTCCAGCACCTCAAGGTCTCTCTTGCAGTGAGGGGCACAGAGCTGAGCACAGGATTCGAGGTGCAGCCTCCCCAGTGCCCAGCACAGGGGCCCAATCCCTGCCCTGCTCCTGCTGCCGCACTGGTGCTGGTGCAGTACCAGGATGCTGGGGGCTTCTTGGCTGCCTGGGCACAAGCTGCTCCTGCTCAGCTCCAGCAGCTCCTTTCCAGCCTGGAGCGTTCCATGGGGCTGCTGTGGCCCAGGGTGAGGACCCAGCACCGAGCCTGGTTGGATCTCACACCAGTGACCACAACGCAGGGATCCAGCCTGGCCGGATCCTTCTTGCAGAGCCTCCCTATCCTCCCTCCAGCAGATCAACTCCCGCCCTTGGTGTCATGTGAAGTGACTCAGGGTGCCCTCCATGCCCTCATCCAGATCATCAACGAAGATAGCAAACAGCACTGGCCCCAACCCCAAGCCCTGAGGGCCACCACCAGTGACCTGTCACCATCTAGACGTGACACCATTCACCAGCACTCTCTAGGCTCTGCCAGCCAGCCAGTCTTTTACCCAGCAAAGAATCCACCCACCCGGGGCCATGAGCAGGCAGTGTCTCCAGGAGAACACTGCGGGACACCGCATCGATGCTTTGCTAAGGTCCAGAGGGGCAATGTCCACAGCCTTTCCCTCATTCACCAGGCAGGTCAATTGTTGCAGGAGGAGATGAGGTTGGTCAAGCAGGACCTGCCCTTCTGGTGCTGACTGTGTTGATCCCCTTGTTGTCCTGCACGTGCTTTGCCATCCCCGGCAGAAGGGTTGCAACCGGGTGATCCTAAGGTCCTTTGCAAGCCAAACCCTCTCGCTTGGGATGCGGTGCTCCGTGCCCTTCCCCACACGCAGGTCCTGGTGCTCTGCGGTGCAGCCTATCGACCCACGGAGGAGATCGACCTGCGCAGCATCGGCTGGGGGAACATCTTCCAGCTGCCCTTCAAGCACATGAGGGACTATCGCCTGCGCCACCTCTTCCCCATCTTCATCTACAGCGGCTTCGAGGTGCTCTTTGTCTGCACCGGCTTCTCCCTGGTAGGGATGGATGGGGACAGAGGGGAGGTGACAAAGCAGGGACAACCCAAGTGATGCTGAGCCCGTTCTTCCCTGCAGAACTATGGGGTGTGCGCCCTGGGGCTGGAGAAGCTGGCCTATCTCCTCATGGCCTACGGGCTGTCCGCCTCGGCCTGCTCCAGCCTGGCCCTGGGCATGCTGCGCCTGCAGCGGCACATCCCGCTGCTGGCTGGAGCCTTCATCCACGCTGCCCTCCTGGTGACGCTGTTCTGCTGGGCACCGGAGCCCCGGCTCGTGGGCCAGGCTCCTCTGCTCTACGCCATCGCCGCGCTCTGGGGCACGGGGAGCGCCCTCAACAAGACCAGCATCAGCAGTGAGTAGCGGGAAGGTCCCCAGCGCAGCCTCTCTTGTCGTCCCCCCCCCCCGCTTCCTCCTCGTGCCACAACCTGCTCCTTGGACACGCTGACAAGGAGCAGGACAGACCCACGGTGCCCCCACAGGGGGACCCTGACAGCAGCTCTCCTCCCTCACAGTCCTCCTGGGCATGTTGTACAAGAACAAGGAGCGCCAGGACTTCATCTTCACCATCTACCACTGGTGGCAAGCCCTGGCCATCTTCACCGTCTACCTGTGGTCAGAACTACCCATGAAGGTGACCGCGGTGGGGTGGGCAGAACCTCAACATAAAAAGGACATGGAACTGTTGGAACAAGGCCAGAGGAGACCACGAGGATGCTCAGGGGCTGGAGCACCTCCTGGATGAAGACAGGCTGAGAAAGTTGGGGCTGTTCAGCCTGGAGAAGAGAAGGCTGGGGGAGACCTCAGAGCAGCTTCCAGTGTCTGAAGGGGGCTTATAGGGATGCTGGGGAGGGACTCTTCATTAGGGACTGCAGTGACAGGACAAGGGGTAACGGGTTCAAACTGAAACAGGGGAAGTTTAGATTGGATCTAAGGAGGAAATTCTTTCCTGTGAGGGTGCTGAGGCACTGGAATGGGTTGCCCAGGGAGGTTGTGAATGCTCCATCCCTGGCAGTGTTCAAGGCCAGGTTGGACAGAGCCTTGGGTGCCATGGTTTAGTGTGAGGTGTCCCTGCCCATGGCAGGGGTTGGAACTGGATGATCTGCAGCTCCTTCCCTACCCTAACGATTCTATGGTTCTATGGACGTGGGAGCTGAGGGGGCTGCAGCCCCACGCTCAGCCCCTCTTGGCCCCGCTGCAGGCCAAGCTCTCCATCCTGCTGGCGACGCTGGTGGCGGCGGTGGGGGCCTACGTGCGGATGGAGCAGCGGCTGGGGCAGCACGTGGAGTACCGCCTGCCCCGCATCCCGCGCCCGCGCCACCGCATGCGCGGCTACCGCTACCTGGAGGAGGACGCCTCGGACCAGACGGGCTCCGAGGGCGATGGGGACGGCGAGGAGGAGCAGGAGGAGCGCCCAGCACCGGCCTCCAGCCGCGAGGAGCTGCCCACAGGGGATGAGGAGCAGCGGGGTTAGAGCCGCCCGGCCCGTTCCAGCCCTGGGAGGCGGCCCCCACCTTGTTCTCTACAGTAAAAAGTGGGGGGCTGAACCCACCCTGGAGCTACCCAAAGACTCCTGAGCAGGCTCAAGCTTCCAGAGGTCCCCTCTGCAGCAACCCCAGGCCAGGCCTAAAGACCCCGTTGCGAAGCAATGCAGCCCCCAAAAGGACCCCAAAGCCCTCAGGCCAGGCCTGCAGCCCCATAGCCAGCCCCATAGCGCCCCCCCCAGGCAGGCCTGCAGAGCCCCTAACCAAGCCTAAAGCCCCTCAGGCCAGGCCTGCAGCCCCATAGCCAGCCCCATAGCCCCCCCCCAGGCAGGCCTGCAGCCCCATAGCCAGCCCCACAGCTCCCCCAGACAGGCCTGCAGCCCCATAGCCCCCCCCCCTTCCCCCCAGGCAGGCCGCCAGCCCCATACCCCCCCCCCTCCCCCAGGCAGGCCACCAGCCCCATAGCCCCCCCCCAGGCAGGCCTGCAGAGCCCCTAACCAAGCCTAAAGCCCCTCAGGCCAGCCCCACAGCCCCCAGGCCAGACCTGCAGCCCCATAGCCAGCCCCACAGCCCCCAGACCAGACCTGCAGCCCCAGAGCCAGCCCCAGAGCCGCCTCCAGGCAGGCCTGCAGACCCCCCTAACCAAGCCTAAAGCCCCTCAGGCCAGCCCCACAGCCACTCAGGCCAGACCTGCAGCCCCACAGCCGCCTCCAGGCAGGCCTGCAGACCCCCTAACCAAGCCTAAAGCCCCTCAGGCCAGCCCCACAGCCGCCCCCAGGCAGGCCTGCAGCCCCATAGCCCCCCCTGACGCGGGCCTACAGACCCCCTAACCAAGCCTAAAGCCCCTCAGGCCAGCCCCACAGCAAGCCAGGCCTACAGCCCCACACCACCCCCTTACCAGCCCACCCCGCCCCTTTCCACCCCCCTATACCTCAATAAAGCCTCTTCCATCTCCGCTCTTCGCCTCGCCGCGGCTTCTCCTCCCTCCATGAGGGGCAGCAAGCACCAAGCACGACGCTGAGGCGGGGACTACAGCTCCCGGCGTGCACCGCGCCACGGCGCGGTGCACGCCGGGAGCTGTAGTCCCCGCCCCAAGATGGCGCTGTACATCTTCCCTCCCTCGAACTACAACCCCCACAATCCCCCGCGCCGGCAAGGGGTGTGCGCTGTCACGTGCGCCTCCCACCCCGCGCCTGCGCGCTGCGGGCTGTTGTTGTGGCGGCGCGGCCCGGCCGGTAGCGATGAGCGACAACGATGACATCGAGGTGGAGAGCGACGTGAGTCGGGCCCCGCTGTCGCGACAGCGCGATAGGAACGCCCCCCCCCCCTCCTCCCCCTTTGTACCCCCACGCTATCGCTTCCCTATGGGCCGCGGGAGCGGGGTAGCACCGGTAACGTTTGGTTTCTGTTCCCTCTTCCTCATCGCGGCGCCGTTTCCTTCCTGGTGCCTTCCTCCTCCTCTTCCTCCTCCTCGTCCCGTTCGTGCCCCTTCCCCCACAACCGGGCCCCATCAGGAGGAGCAGCCGCGGTTCCAGTCCGCGGTAAGCGCCGGGACCCGAGCACGTGGGGGGGAGGGGGGGGGGAATGGGGTTTTGGGGGTGTCGAATGGGGATGGGGTCATTGGGGGGGGGGAGGGGAAGCTGTGGGGCTGGGGGTGTCCCGGGGAGGATGGATCTGTGGGGCTGGGGTCTGCTGGGGAGGGGATCTGTGGGGATGGGGTCTGCTGGGGAGGGGATCTGTGGGGATGGGGGGGATCTGTGGGGATGGGGTCTGCTGGGGGGGGGGAATCTGTGGGGATGGGGGGGGATCTGTGGGGATGGGGTCTGCTGGGGAGAGGATCTGTGGGGATGGGGGGGATCTGTGGGGATGGGGTCTCCTGGGGGGGATCTGTGGGGATGGGGTCTCCTGGGGAGGGGATCTGTGGGGATGGGGGGGATCTGTGGGGATGGGGTCTCCTGGGGGGGTGGCATCTGTGGGGCTGGAGGGATCTGTGGGGCTGGGGTCTCTTGGGGGGGATCTGTTGGGATGGGGGGGATCTGTGGGGATGGGGTCTCCTGGGGGGCTGGCATCTGTGGGGCTGGGGTCTCCTGGGGGGAGAGCATCTGTGGGGATGGGGTCTCCTGGAGGGGGGGGGAATCTGTGGGGATGGGGGAGATCTGTGGAGCTGGAGTCTCCTGAGAGGGGGCCATCTGTGGGGCTGGGGTCTCCTAAGCAGGGGGAGATCTGTGGGGCTGGGATCTCCTGGGGAGGGGGGGATCTGTGGGGCTGGGATCTCCTGGGTGGGGTCTGCATAAGAGTTCCTTTGGGGATGGGGTCTTTATGGGAATGCCCCCAGGGCAGGGGATCTTGGGGGGGGGGGGGGGGGGGGGCTGTGAGGGGGCACAGGTTGGGGGTCTCCTGGGGGGTGGGAATCTGTGAAGCTGGGATCTCCTGGGAGGGGGGATCTGTGGGGCTGGGGTCTCCTGGGGGGGATCTGCGTAAGGGTTCCTTTGGGGGTGGGGTCCTTATGGGAATGCCTATGGGGCAAGGGGGTCTTGGGGGGGGGACGTGTGGGGCCGAGAGGGGGCATATGTGGGGTTGGGGGTCTTGCAGGAGGGAGATCTGTGGGGCTGGGGCTTGTGGGGAGGGGGCACTCATGGGCTTGCGGGGCTTCTTAGAAGGGGACCTGTGGGGCTGGGGATAGGAGCCCACTTCTGGGGTTGTGAATCCGGAGGGAGATGGGGTGGGGGGGGGTGTGAGCTTTGTGGGGCTGGGACTCTTGGTGTGGGGCACTGAGGTTTGGGGCTCACGTGTCCTATGGGGCCGGATGTGGGGTGTAACCCATGGGGGCCGTGCCTGCTGGTGAGGGTACCCTAGGGCATATGGGGGGGGGGGTGGCCCAGGAACCCAAAGCCCCCAGAGCCGCATCCTTCCCCATGGGTGCCGAGGCTCTTCCCATGCATCCATCCCCAAAGGGCTGCCCCAGAGCGGTGCTGGGGAGCAGGGCATGGATCCCCCCACCACCACCACCGCCCCAGTGCCACCCTCACCTCCCTTTGCCCCCCCCGTCCACCCCCAAGGCAGACAAACGCGCCCACCACAACGCGCTGGAGCGCAAGCGCAGGGACCACATCAAGGACAGCTTCCACAGCCTGCGGGACTCCGTGCCCTCCCTGCAGGGGGAGAAGGTGAGGTTGGGGAGCGTGCTGGGTGCTGGGCTCCCCCCGCTGTGCGGGTCCGGCCCCTTGGAGGTGCTTGGGGAACCCAGGGTGGTGCGGGTGGGAAGGGGAGAACATGGAGCAGCTCATAAAGGGGCTGCAGGAAAGCTGGAGAGGGGCTTGGGACAAGGGCCTGTAGGGACAGGCCAAGGGGAATGGCGCCTTCATCCCAACCCATTCTGTGATGTTGTGGGAGCCCAAATGAAAGGGGGATGGGGATGGAAGGAGTTTGAAGGAGGCCATGGGGGTAAAAGGGACCTGGAGCAGCTCTGCTCTGGGGCCAGGCTGAGAGAGCTGGGCTGGGGCAGCCTGGACAAGAGAAGGGGAGATCTGAGAGCAGCTCCAGTGCCTGAAGGGGCTGCAGGAAACCTGGAGAGGGGCTTGGGACAAGCGCCTGTAGGGACAGGCCAAGGGGAATGGCTTGAACCTGCCCGAGGGGAGACTGAGCTGAGCTCTTAGGCAGAAGCTCTTCCCTGGGAGGGTGCTGAGGCGCTGGCACAGGGTGCCCAGAGAAGCTGTGGCTGCCCCATCCCTGGCAGTGTTCAAGGCCACAGGGGCTTGGAGCAAGCTGCTCCAGTGGAAGGGGTTGGGGTTGGAACTGGGTGAGCTTTAAGCTCCCTTCATCCCACCCCATTCCCTGATTCCATGGTTCAGTTCTCAGCCTAACCCAGCACCACCAGGAGGTCACAGTCATCCCAGCCCTCCCCACGGGGGTCCCCAAGCCAAGAGCTGGGCTCCGGTGCCATCGGCACCGCGCACTCCCCCCTGGTGCTGCGCCGCGGGTGGGATGGGGCGGACAGAATCCCATGGGCTCCTCCGTGGCCTAGGTCTTTATCTCGCCTCGTCTGCCTTTTCCCACTATTGCAACAGGCATCCCGGGCGCAAATCCTGGACAAAGCCACAGAGTACATCCAGTACATGCGCCGGAAAAACCACACGCACCAGCAGGACATCGACGACCTCAAGCGCCAGAACGCGCTCCTAGAGCAGCAAGGTGAGGGGGCGAAGGGAATCCCATGGGATCCAGGTGGGATAAGGCATAGGGGATCCAGGTGGTGGGATACAGGTGGGATAAGGCACAGGGGCTCCAGGTGGGATAAGGCACAGGAGGGATCCAGGTGGGATAAGGCACAGCGGGGATGCAGGTGGTGGGATCTAGGTGGGATAAGGCATAGGGGATCCAGGTGGTGGGATACAGGTGGGATAAGGTGCAGGGGGGGATCCAGGGGGGATGCAGGTGGGATAAGGCACAGCAGGGATGCAGGTGGGATAAGGCACAGGAGGGATCCAGGTGGGATAAGGCACAGGAGGGATCCAGGTGGGATAAGGCACAGCGGGGATGCAGGTGGTGGGATACAGGTGGGATAAGGTGCAGGGGGGGATCCAGGGCGGATCCAGGTGGGATAAGGCACAGGAGGGATCCAGGTGGGATAAGGCACAGGGGGGATCCAGGTGGGATAAGGCACAGGAGGGGTGCAGGTGGGATAAGGCACCGGGGGGGGGGGGGGAATGCAGGTGGGATAAAGCACAGGGGGGATCCAGGTGGGATGCAGGTGGGATAAGGCACAGGCGGGATGCAGGTGGGATAAGGCACAGGGGCTCCAGGTGGTGGGATGCAGGGGGGGATCCATGTGGTGGGATACAGGTGGGATAAGGCACAGGGGCTCCAGGTGTTGGCTCTGCCTTGCAGTGCGGGCGCTGGAGAAGGCCAGGTCGAGCGCTCAGCTTCAGGCCAGCTACCCCTCGACGGACGGCAGCAGCCTCTACACCAACGCCAAGGGCAGCACCATCTCCGCCTTCGACGGCGGATCCGATTCCAGCTCCGACTCGGAGCCCGAGGAGCCTCAGAACAGGAAGAAGCTGCGCATGGAGGCCAGTTAGGGCCCCCCCCGGCCCCCCCACCGCCCTCGGCCGTGTAAGGACTCTTTCCCTTCTCTCGTAGAGGCTCTCGGACTGCAGCTTCCCAAAGCCCATCCCGGCCCTTTCCCCGCTCCAACCGCACCGGCCCCGAGGGGGGAGCCGGCCAGGCAGGGCCCCCGACAGACTTGGGGGGGGGAAGTGTCTCCAAGGAGGCACCGTCCCCATTGCCCCCCCTCCCCAGCGAGCCCCTCGCCCTCCTCCTTTCTGGTTTTATATGAGCGTTTCTATTTATACCCGGGGACCACAGCAGTCCTGAGCTGAAGGGGGAGGCTGTGCAGCCCCCCCCCCAACTCCACTCTGTGTGTGTGTGTGTGTGTGTGCCCCCCCCAAAAGGCCAGGCCTCACACAGGGGAGCTGCTCCTGACCCCCCCCCCCCATCAGGCAAGCACTGGAAGGAAAAGTGGGGGGGGGTCTTGCTATTTATTCTCTGCGTGTGCAATTCCAACTGCCCCCGATGCCTGTGGGAGCTATGGGGGGGGGACAACACACACACAACGCCTGCACCCCCTCTTTCCACAGCACAGAGCCAGGCTGGGTGCTCTCTGTGTGCATCCTGTCCCGTGTCCTCCCCCCCCTTCCTTTTCCTCTGTCACCTTCCCCACCTCTATGGCATTCTCTGATCTCTAGCATCCCCTCCGTGCCCCATAGGTACCCCCCCCCGCCCCATTCCCATTTTGATGCCAATTCATTCCATGGATCTAAGGTATGTTGTACATACTGCCCGGAGTTGTCTTGCAAGTTGAGGCTTCCCCTTTACTATAAGACTCTAAAGAATAAAACGGGACATAGAAAAAGCAGCCTGATTTCCACTTCCCGATGTTCCCTTGGGATCGGAGCCCAAGCATCACCTCCCGGCCCCAAAGCGCGGCACGGAGGGGGGCGGCAGCTCTGCCCCACTGCACGCACACGACACGGGGTTGGGGTTGGGGTTGTTGGGGGGGGGGGTGCAGCTCATCCTTTTGGGGCTTTATTCATTCCAATAATGAATTCCCAGCTCCCACCGGGAACGGCGGCAGGAGCTGGTGGCCACGGGAGCACCCTTTTGGTATTGCTAGCACCCTGAGGACCTCGCTCTGCACCAGAGCACCCGGGGCAGGGCTGCTTGCACACAGTCTAGGGTGGGGGGTACGGGGTTTGGGGTGGGGGGGCAGCAGGGCTACCCCAATCACTCAGCTGCTGGCTCCAGGCTGGGCACGGGCTGCCGTAGGAAGTGCATCACCGCCCGCCCCACCTTGTCCGGGGTGATGTTGTACACGGGGTGCGTGGCCTGCTGTGGGGCAAGCGAGAGGAGAAAGGGGGCTCGGAGCCTGCTTGTGGGGCTGGGGAGGATTCCCCCCCCACACACACACCACGGGAGCTCAGCGGTTGATGCTCAGCACCTACCAGGCGGTTCTCAGGGGCGCCCAGGACCACTTCGTGGTGGAGGTCGCCGCTGCCGAAGTGCTGCGCTATGGCCAGGCCGCTCAGGCAGTAGCAGGTGTGGTAGAAATCCCGGGATCTGGCGATGGGGAAGGGGGTGTTGGGGTGCAGCACACCAGGCAGCGCCCCCCTCCCAGCCCCATAAGCCCTGGTACTCACTTGCCAGGCTTGTCCAGCAGCCCCCCGGCCGGGCACTGGCAGCACAGCAGGATGTATTCCTGCAGCGCCGACTGGTCGAACATCCAATGGGTCATGCTCAGGGCTGGGTCGCCTGGAAGGGGAAAGAAGGGGGTGAAATCCATGGGGATGGAGGGGGCAGGAATGTGGGAACTGCCCCTTCCTCGGGGCTCCCTCCACACCACCAAAGCCTCAGGAGCCTCCCCGACGCAGCAGCTCCCACCGGGAACGGGGACACGGAATCACCGCGTTCATTCCCTTCCCATGACGCCTTCATGTAGATGCTGTTTTGGGGGGCAGAGGAAGGCAGCATCGAGCCCCCCCCCCAAAAGCCAACTCACCCTTGATGTGGAGGGCTCGGTGCAGCAGGGGCAGGAGCCCAGCTTGCCAGAAGGAATAGCAGCCATCCACCAGCTTGTTGCAGCGGCCTTGGAAGCCGCCCTCGAAGCGCATCTGCCGGCTGGTCACCCAGTGCTGGGCAGGACAGAGCAGGATGAGGCCATGGGGAGGAACCCCCCCCCCATAATCCCAAGGAGGAAGGGGCTGGAGGTGCTCACCAGCAAGCTCCGCAGGTTGAGGAGCTGCTCCTGCTTGAGGATGACCAAGGCGGCCACGCCACAGAAGGTGTAACCGCCGTGAGCTTCCATCCCCGGCACGCCGCCCATGCCGCCCTCCCAGTTCTGGCACCTGCACGGGGAGGGAGGAGAGGGTGGGATGGGGAGCGAGGTCCTGACATCGGGATGGGGAGCTGCTGGATTGGGACCATGGGGATGCTGCGAGGGAGCCAGGCTGAGAGAGCTGGGCTGGGGCAGCCTGGGGAGGCCTGAGAGCAGCTCCAGTGCCTGAAGGGGCTGCAGGGAAGCTGGAGAGGGGCTTGGGACAAGGGATGTAGGGACAGGCCAAGGGGAATGGCTTGAACCTGCCTGAGGGGAGACTGAGATGAGCTCTTAGGCAGAAGCTCTTCCCTGGGAGGGTGCTGAGGCGCTGGCACAGGGTGCCCAGAGAAGCTGTGGCTGCCCCATCCCTGGCAGTGCTCAAGGCCAGGTTGGACACAGGGGCTTGGAGCAAGCTGCTCCAGTGGAAGGGGTTGGTGCCTCCCACCCCACCCCACGCTCCCATCCCCATCCCTGCCCCATCCCCACCCCACACCTCGCGATCCACTCGGCCGTGCCAGCGAAGAGCGCGGGGGTCAGGATGTTGGTCAGGGAGGCCACGGATGCAGCGCAATAGGCGCTCCTATGGGATACGGGATGGAGGGGGGGGGGGTCAGGGAGGGGAGCCCAGCCCCACGCTGGTACCCAGGGCAGCCCCCCCTTCACCCACCTCACATCCACCTCGCCCCCGACGTGCATGAGGAAGGAGCCATCGGGCTGCTTCAGCGAGTGCAGGTACTGCAGCAGCTTCTGCCTGCCGGAGCCATTGTGCTGCAGGAGGTGGGGGGGCACACACCACACACACACACACACACGTGTCCTGTGCCCCCCCAACCCCGTACCCCAACACCATCCCCACCTGTCAATGACCCCGAAGGCCTCCTCCGTGCCGATGATGCAGAGCGCGTTGACCGCGGCGTAGGTGGGGGCGAGGTGGGGGTGCTGGCCTGGACCCCCCCAAAACCCCCTTGGGGGCTCTGGCAGCGGCTCAGGAACTGGCAGACACTAAAGGAGGGGTGGCAGTGAGCCACGGAGGCCATGGGGACACCCCATAACACACAAGGGTGTCCTGCGTGTGTGCCCCCCCCCAATAAGGTCAAGGCTGGGGTTATCTCATCCCTCTCCCCCCCCCCATCACGAGGTGCTGGCAGCAAGAAAGGCCCCATTGATGGTGCCAAAGGGAGGAACAAAGCTCCTTTGGTGCGGGGGCAGCAGGAGCTGGCACCTCCGGCATCACATGGGGCCGCGGCTGCAGGCAGGACGCGGGGTGAGGGTCCCCAAGCCGCCACCATAGGGTGGGCTATGGGATGCTGCTGGTACCTACTCAGAGGCGACCGAGTGGGGAATGGGCTCCTCCAGCAGCTCCAGGCTGTGCAGGATCCAGTAGCAGAGCCAAGGGCGGCTGGCATCCAGGCACTGCGGGATAAGGGGGGGGACCGAGGAGGATGTGGGGCTGCAGGGAGCATCCTGCTCCACGACACCCCCCTGCTTATGGGGTCTAAAGGGGGCCAAAGGATGCTCAGGAGCTGGAGCAGCTCCCACACGGGCTCTTCATCAGGGCAAAGGGGTGATGGGTCGGGATCCCCATTGGGGGTAAGGATGGAATCCTTCCCTTTGGGGGTGCTGAGCACAGGGCAGCTGCGGCGGCCCCATCCCCGCTGATCAAGGCCGGCTTGGATGGGGCTCGGGGCGCCCTGCTCTAACGGAAGAGCATCGGCGTCGGAACGGGGTTTCAGGAGCCTTCATCCCAAACCCATCCCAACGGGGCAGCAGCTCAGGTACCTCATAGGCTTCCGTGAGCTGCCGGAGGCCTCTCTTCAGGTAATGGAAGTGCTTCTCCCGGTGCAGGATGAACCTGGGACGGGAGGCAGGGACGGGGAGCTGAGGCCACCGCACCCAAGGCTTGGGGCCGCATCCCACCGGAGCGCCGCTCCCATAGGAACTCACTGTGGGACGCGGTGGTTGGCCTTGTAGGCATCAAACACCTCCTGCACGATGTCCTCCACCTTGGCCTGCATCCGGCATGCAAGGGGAAGCAGAGCCCCCGTGAGGCCGGGAAGCTCCTGCCCCATTCCCGAGGGTTTTATCCAAGGGGATCCCATGGGGAGGCTCGGGCAGGAGCCGAGCCGGGATCCCAAGGGAATCGCGCCCCACGGGGCTGTTTGCCCCAGGCGTAAGGATGGAGCAGGGCGCATCCCTCTGGAAAAGCCGGGAACCGGGATAATCCCGATGGAAAACAGCAGGGGGAGGGCAGGCAGCACCGGGACCACCCCCCCCCCCCATCCGTGGGGCCACGGGATGAGCGGGAATGCCGCATGGATTGGGAAACACAGCCCTGCCTTTGTACCACTGGGGCCCATCCCAGCGCCCCGGGCTGGATCAGATCCACAGGGAGCAGAGGGAACCTCCGCACCCACCGCAAGCTGGGAATGGGGGGACCCGTCACAGCCCCCCACCCATGGGTGCCCCGGGTGCTGCCACGGGGAGGAAGTGGGGCAGGGATCACCCAGCCCCATGGCACCCCATAGCACCCTCAGGGCAAGCTTCAGAGCACCCTATAGCCCGGCCCTACAGCAGCCAGCCCAATGGCACCCATAGCCCGGCCCCACAGCACCCTCAGGGCAAGCTTCAGAGCACCCTATAGCCCGGCCCTACAGCAGCCAGCCCAATGGCACCCATAGCCCAGCCCCACAGCACCCTCAAAGCCAGCCCCAGGGCACCATGACCCTACAGCACCCCACAGTTCTGCCCCATAGCACCCTCCAATCCAGCCACACAGCCTAGCCTTACAGCACCCTCAGGGCCAGCCCCATAGCACCTCAGAGCCGGGCCTTAAAGCAGCCTGGCCCCAGGGCAGCTTCAAAGCCAGCCCCACAGCACCCTCAAAGCCAGCCCCAGGGCACCATGACCCTATAGCACCCCATAGCCCAGGTCCACAGCAGCCCGGCAGCCTCAGAGCCAGCCCCATGGCATTCCCCAGTCCGGCCACAGAGCACCCCATAGCATGGCTCTAGGGCAGCCCCAGAGCCAGCCCCATGACACCCATAGTCCATGACACCCATAGCCCAGCCCCATGGCACCCACAGCCCAGCCCCATGGCACCCGTAGCTCCCCACAGCTCCCACAGCCCAGCCCCATGGCACCCACAGCCCAGGCCCATAGCACCGATAGCTCCCCATAGCACCCATAGCTCCCCATGGCACCCATAGCTCCCCATGGCACCCAAAGCCGAGCCCCACGGCACCCACAGCCCAGCCCCATAGCACCCATAGCTCCCCCTAGCACCCACAGCCCAGCTCCATGGCACCCATAGCACGCATAG